TATCCATTAGCATCAAAAACTACACAACTTTGCCAATTTAACCGAATTTGTAAGTATAATAATAACCAAGATAGCCATGTTATTCTACTCAAATTAAGACACCCTGTATTTATATTAAATATTATTTACAATATTGCATTTTATACATTAAAATGTTTTTATTGTCGACATCTACGTTTCCATGGCGATCAAAAGATTGGAGGATTGTTTAAAACGACTGTTTCTTGGTTACCTGTATTATTTATTTATACGGGGTGGCAATTTGAAAACTTACCATCCCCCATGTCTTAATAAATAAACGAGATATTTAAAAAAATCAAAATATTAATTCGGAGGGGGAATCACAATGAGATAGTTGGCAACGCACCCCCTCCAACCGCCTGCGCCCCAGCCACCCCAACCCAAATAGCATTACATTTAGGTTAGTAATTATCGTGCACCAAATAGCATTACATTTAGGTTATTAATTATCGTGCAAATCAAAAAATAAACTAATATGGTACATTTTCTAAAGTTGGCTTTTATTTCAATAAAAATATTCAAAATGGTTTTCTTTATTGCGTTATGGGTTAAATTAAGAAGAAAAAATGCTATTCATATTTATTTTGTGTATTTTTTGATGTCTGCTATGGGTGAAGGAATGTGTCTTTTTATACCTTTATCCGCTTTCTGTACTACTATCTTCTAGTTAGCAATACAGATAGTGATAAATAAAAGATCAAGCAACGACATTTGCACGATAATTACTAACCTAAATGTAATGCTATTTGGTATGGTTGGAAAGCATTTTTTCAGAGCTTTCCAACGACGTATCACACATGGGGGGTCACTGTTTAAGATTTAAAAGTTGGGGTGGCTGGGGCGCAGGGGGTTGGAGGGGGTGCGTCGCCAACTATGTCATTGTGATTCCCCCTCCGAATTACCGACACAGATTTTGATTTTTGAAAATATCTCGTGTATTTACTAAGACATGGGGGATGGTAAGTTTTCAAATTGCCACCCTGTATATTATATGACTTATTTGTTTTATTTGCATGTGTTTTCACGTTCTTTGTTTTTTGTGTATTATTTGAACTTAAAAATATTTGGAAACTAATAAACATTTCCGAATAACCAAGAAATTGTCTTTTTACACAATCCTACCATCTTTTGTTCGCCATGGAAACCTAGATGTGTGCAATATAAATATGTTAGTGTATAAAATGCAATATTGCAATGGCAAATCATATTTAATATTAAAATATAACAAGTGATACATCCAAATTTAGAAAATTTTACCCTTTATTCAAAAACTCTAAAATATACAGCGTCCAAGTTGATAGTGGAACATAGGGAAATAACATGGGAAAAGACATTTTCGGTAATTCCTGCTCCCCATTTCATCCTACAGAAAAAATAAAAACATCTTCGGATAGATAACTAAAATATCCATCAGATAACATAAAAATACGCAACTGTAAGGTCTTATGCAAGCCTAAAAATTAAATAAAAAATCCTAAAAATTGGTAAAAACTGGTTGGCCATGGAGTGATGTGTCACACTTGCTAGGTACCTACTACAAAAAATCGGTCTTTTGACTATCATCTCACTTCAACCACAAAAGGATGAAATAATTACAGATGACAGTTAAATCAAAGAATTAGGTAACAAATGCGGTAGGTAAATCATGGCCAACGAATTTATTAATTTGACTTTTATACTTTTAAAAAAGGGCTTATGCACGCTTTTTTGGTGACATCTAATGGCGATTTTAAGTATCTATCCGGGCGTATTTTTACTTTTTCTTTAGGTTCCCTATGTTCCGCCGTCAACTTGCCACGCTGTATAGATTGGTCCATATGAAAAAATATAGTTTAGGGTCGTATAAGAAAAACAAAACACCCTGTATAAAAACTCCATTCAGATGGATTCTACATAAAAAAGTACTCTAAGAAAGATTTTGCCAAAATCAATTATCTTTAATAATAAGAAAGTTATGGGGCATTATGGAAATCGACTAAATTCGGAAGCGCCCCCTAGCGGCCAAACGATTAGAGATAGCTGAATTCTGTTTGCGCCAGTGATTTTCTCTTTCAAATTGGCATCCAGACGCTTAAGTCCCTTTTTAGCGCATTTCTACAAAAATAAACACAAAAATGCGCTATTGTGGCCACTTTGTCCGTCCGTTCGGGCAATCGTTGGGACGGTACTAGTTCCTTATCTTAAGAGCTATTGTTCCACTTTTTTCGCTATTTGGTTCTTTACCGAGTCGAGGATTGCACCAAGGAAGGAATTTTTTCTGCGTTTATTGCTAAAAAAGTTATTGTACAAAAACCAAAGAACCATTTTTTACATGTTCCATAATTTTATACTTCTGCCGTTTATTAACGATCATAGATATTGTTTATAATTTTGTATTGCTGTCTGTCGTCCGTCTGTTGGTCTGTCTGTCCATCTATCTGTCCGTGTGAACGATAACTTTGTGTAGAAACGCCTGGAATAAAGGAAAATCTAACGCCAGTTTCAAAATTTGGTTTTGCGCATGCGCAGTGCCAACTTTTTTATTTATGGAAGAATTTAAATGAAATTGGATACATAGCCACTTGGGACAAAGGAATCTAACGTTAGTTTCAAAATTTAGGTTTGCGCAAGCGCAGTGTCAACTTTCTTATTTATGAAAGCATTGAAATTTCATTTCATTTCATTCTTCTTATAAACTGAAATTGAAGTAGGACGTCAAAAATTGATTGCACCTATGCAACGTTATCTTTCATATTTGTGGCCGGATTTTTAAGATTTTAATAGAAGTTGCAGCTTACAAATGGGAAATGAATGCAAGTGGAAATGCGCTATTTGTAAATCGTTTACGATTACTTTTTTAACTTGTCTATTCCTTAAAATAAAGGGTGTTTCCATAAGAAAGTGTCAAGTTCGGACCACCCTGTACACTCACAAGACACCTTTCGGGGATGGACAAAGTCTCCCAATTGCCCAGCGAGTTTGCCAGAAAGCCCTATTCGCTGTTTTGCCTTTGAGCTCTATATGTTTGTTGCAATTCAGTTTTTTGTCAAGTGTGATTTCTAGATATTTCACTGATTCCGAAAATTGGAGGTGTTCTTGGAATAGCAGGGGAGTTTGAAGACCCTCTACCTTTCTTTTTCTTGTGAAGAGAACTAGCTCTGTTTTTCTCCGGTTGATGAACGGTGTTCGCTATAAAATTGTTCGGTTATTTTAAGAGCTGATTGCATCAGTCTGCATAGAGTAGCCTGAAATGTGTCGATTAGTGCGGTTATATCATCTGCATACCCCAGCATATAGTAGCCACTGTCATTGAGGCAACAGAGGATGCTGTTAACAGTTAAGTTCCACAGAAGTGGTGATAGCACCCCACCTTGGGAGCATGGTTTCACCACTGTGCACCTTAACATTTCATAGCCAACGCTGATGTGCACTGTTCTAAGATTCAGCAGCTGCGCAATCCAGCGTCGTACAACTTTTGTTACAGCGCGCCGTGGTGGATAACAAAAACATTCAGTCCCCATTGCAGGAGGACTGTTATCATGCCGTTGAATTCTGGTGATTTGTATGCTGAGAACGATTTCACCACTCAGGTCACTCTTGCCAGTACCTCGGCTGTCTCTGAGAGATTGTCCGTGTAGGCACCATCCTCTCCCTGAGGCTGGCTGGGTTATAATATGAACTTTTCGTTAGAATTTTATTTAGGCGGAATGTGGAGGAGGTGGATTCTATAAAGCTACAAAAACTCTTCCATGCCTCCTTCTGACGCCTCCTAATATCCTTCTTTTATAGCCTTAAGTTGACCTTATAGGTCTCTCAATCTGATCTTACCTTATTGAACAGTTTGCCCCCCCCCCCAGTTTTTCTGCTTTTTGAGCGCCCTGCATCACCAGGGATGGTTGTAGGGGGATCTTGGCAGTCCTCAGAGGACATATGTACCTGCCAATAAATGCTTAAAATTTGTATCAGTAATTCTAAATCTAATTACTTACAATTCATCTCCTTAGGAGGTCGCTCCTATGAAAAATTTTAATTTTTTTATTTTATTTTGCCTTTATTTTTGAGTGGGCGGGGTTTCAGCCAAGGCTGCTCTACCAACCCAACTCACTATACATTTACAAATATTCATACCCGAACTCGGATTCGAACCAGGGACCCTTAGCACCACAGTTCAGCTTTAACTGAACTGCACCACATGGGCCGGCAAATGGCACATGGTGTATTATACATCCCATGTGTTATATTATGGAGTAATGTGATTAATTATGGTTAATTAGAATAATACATAATATGTACCGTAAACCGGTCTCTGCACATTTTGCAGTATTTTGTAATGTTAGATCTGATTGATTGGACTGAGCATATGATGCCATCATGCTCTTAATGTCTTAAAGTGACCTGAAATTTGGTCTAATTTGAGGTGTGTACATTTTTCATGAACTGATTTTGCTGAATTTGAAAGTCAAATTAACAAGCTGTAGTAGTACATTATTATGACTTCTGCGAATGTTCTTTGTAACAATGCAACACATATTATTATTATGGTCGGTGTTTGTTGTGAGAACTCAGGTCTAGCCTGGTTTTTTTTAATAAATGAACGTTTAATGAAATTAAAAAACCAGGTGTCAAATTCTTGACAGAATAGCTTCCTAGCTGAAACCAAAAATTGCCAACATATGTACGCACTTACAGACGGGAAAAATTTATTCTTTAAAAGTTGCTTAAAATGGTCTAAAACGTCAATTTTTACGCATGCATTTTGTTTGCTTTTGTTAGAGGGACCTACCATCCAAATTTCGTTAAAATTGCTCCATAAATAAGAAAGTTGGATGTTGCACATGTGCAACACTATTTTTTGCGCATGCATTTTGTTTTCTTTTATTAGGAGGACCTACCATCCAAATTTCGTTTTAATTGTTCCATAAATAAGAAAATTGCATTTCTGCGCATGCGCAACACGATTTTTGCGCATGAATTTTGTTTGCTTTTATTAAAGGGACTTACCATAGAAATTTCGTTTAAATTGCTTCAGAAACAAGATCGTTGCGTTTTGCACATATGCAACACAATTTTTTGACTTTGACAATTTTTTTCTCCGTTTTTTGATAATATAACCCGGCCCAATTTTTTGTAGGTTGTACACAGGAAAATAAGGTCTTCCAAATAATAGAATAAAAATTTTAGGTTGCTATTTGAAAAAAAAAGTTCGATGCCGTTACGGCGCTCCAAAATTTTTTTCAAAAATCCGGCCCGTTATTTTTCTGTTCGGTATGCCTAAAACATATATACAAAATTTCAACAAAATCCGTCGAGCCGTTTTCTCAGAAAATTGCCAACAAACGTACGTACGTATACAGACGGAAAAAAATTTTATTCTTTAAAAGTTGCTTAAAATGGTCTAAAACGTCGACATTTGATGAAATTTTGAAATGTTCAAAAAACGGCTATCGCAATAGCTACCTAGCACATGCTAGGAAGCTAATTAATTAATTAAATTAATGGTTAACTAATCGCACGGATTAGAATCAAGTAACGATTAGTGTCTGTGTCTATGTCGCTTGTCTGGTGAAGCTATGTCGGGTCCTAAAAAAAAATCACACACGCACATTGGAAATGTAGGGATAGTATGTAATTCATACTTACCAACATAGCTATTGATGGGCACAATAGCCAACGATATCAGGAAAGAGGAAAACAAAACAAAAAAAATTATTATAATAATTTTATTATTATTATTATTATTATTAACAAGTGCAAATTTTAGTTTGAACACCTTGTGTAATTTACAAAGAAAAATATGAAAAGTTAACTGAAACTCTGAACCATATAAGAGAAAATAAAATTTAATTTATACAGTGTGTCCACGGATTGAGTATACGACAAATTTTATTCGAGTGGGATCTTCATGTTCTGAGGATCGCTCCTGCTCAGTCTCAAACTAAGATATTGAAAAAATGAGGGTGTTGTTTTTGCTGAATTCTAAGAATTGGTCACGAGTAAACTGTTTTTATTTTACCAGATATAACAAAAATGTATTTAAAAAAGTTCATAATTGAAAGTTAATGGAAGACTTTCAATTCCCATACAAATCAGCCTACTTTGATTTTTTACATTAGCCTCCGATATTTTTGAACTCATGTTTGTACAGGAAATAAACGACTCAATTCCTCAAAACCTTTCTGTTCCTCAATAATTAAATATCCATGGGGAAGGTTTTGAGGAATTTAGTCGTTTATTTCCTGTATGGTTCATCACCCCATTTAGAGCATGGATCAACCACGAGTTTTTTCTGAACTCATGTTTGTAACAAAAATCAAAGTAGGCTGATTTGTATGAAAATTGAAAGTCTTCCATAACTTTCAATTCTGAACAACTTTTTGTAATATCTGGTAAAATAAAGACAGTTTACTCGTGACTGACTTTTAGAATTCACCAAAAAAACACCTTGTATATTAATTGATTTGGCTCATTTTCAATATCTGAGTTTGAGACTAAGCAGGAGCGATCCTCAGAACTTGAAGATCCAATGCTAAACGAATTTGTCTTTGTACGAACTCAATCTGTGGACACTGTATATGAAAACCACGTGAAATTTTTATCAAAAAACACTAATTACAGGCCGAACATCTGCAAAAGGTTATTGATCTCCAAAACGGTGAGCTAAGAATTCGCGATCACCTCATCGCGCAACTCTCCGACGTATTAAAACCCTGCTTCATGCAATTGCGCGGGCACGGTTTCGCAACGGAAGGGTTAATGTCTAAATATAACGAGCTAAAGCGCAATCTGCAAGGGATACGTACGGTGTCGTGGAGCGACGATTACTTCCCAGACGCGGACTACGGCGTGAGCTCGACAACCGTCGAGGACAGTGTGGCGGGTGCCAAGAGGAAATACAGTGAAGAGACAGAGTTAGATAATACATTCACCCTTCCCCCCAAGAAGTCGACCGCCGATGGTGCTATGAATACGACAAAAGGTGCGATAGTTTTCTCATTCTTATCAACGTTTTTCGGTGATATCCTTCAAAGTTTTGTCCTGAGTTACAGTATAGCTGATAAAACTCATTCCGTGTAATTTCTTATTGCAAAATTATAAGCGCTCTAAAATGTATTTCAATTTTTTTATTGTAGTTCTCGACACTCTCTCTGTTAGTAGCAATGATGTGGTGGTGGCTGACGCAACCTATGCTTATCTGCCTATCGACGACGAGCCGCTAGAAGACGAAGGTGCTGTTGGGGAGTGGGAAATTTTATTGATACCCACTGGCTTGTACTAAAACCCGTCATTTTCTTGCAAATCCCATTTTTAGTAGATGCCAGTTCAATCTATCCCAATTGTATTAGTGTGCGACATTACTAATGTGATTTTTATTACAGTGTTCGACAAACAAACGGTACAACTGGATGCAAATAAAAATACTCGTAATGTTTGCGCCGAAGGTATGATGTTGAAAGGTTCGTTATTTATATGGCAGCGATTTTCTGTTTCTAATACGCTTTTTTTAGTCACTAAACCAAAACTGATCAAATCGCCACTTCTAAATAAGAATCAAAATTCAGGACAAAAAACGGCAAAGCGATTGTTGACACATGGTAAGTATTGCTTAATACAGCACTCAGTTTTGTAAGTGACAGTAGGTATCACTACTGTTATTATTATTATTATTACATTATTATTATTATTAAAAAAGTTATTAAGTTATGTAGACAGATTTGAATGGGCTTGGTGTCAAAAGAAAACCTCCGAAAGAGATTCTACAATGTACAGCTGAAAGTGTCCATTTTTTTTATTCCCCTCCACGCTACAGTTATAAATTTAGAACCTAAAATAATCGGTATGTTTTCACTCAAACTCAACAAGTTTTAGTCACTGTGTTTCTACCAATTCATGACTGTTGTCTTATAGCTGAGTTACTTAGAATGTAAACATATCGCATATAGTAAAAAAAATCAGATATGCGCATATTGCGCAATGCCAACTTTCTTATGATCACTGCATGGAAAATATGCTAATATTTACTTGTTTTATGTTTACTGTACATTATAATCCTCCGCCGCCCCCGAATTTTCTTCAAAAGCGCCTCAAAATCTTAACCGACTGGTGGCAAAAAGTTAATTGCGCCTCTGGACGTTACTTACTAAGATGTGAGCCATCAGTAATACAATAAATGGATTTCTTATCTACCAAGTACCAAGTTTATAAGTACTGGGAATTTGATGTTTGTAGTATAACGCCATCTAGGTATTCTCTTTGTAATCCACTAGTTTAGATGAAAGTTTGTTACTGTAGTAAAATTTGTACCAAGTATTATAGATTTCTTATTACAGTAGTTCCTTGTTTCACCGACGGAGGTCGTGCAGAGTTCTTTTGCTATTACTTTTAGAAGATACGCCACGTTGTTACTTGCCAATTTTTGTCTTGCCTTTTTAGGATATATTGTGGCTGTATAAGTTTAGTCATTTCATTTCATTCATGCCATAGATGAGTTTCTACCTTACCAGCAAAGTTCAATGAAACGAAACCTTGCATTTGTTTTACTCCGAAGAATTTGTTCATTCTACCTGGGGCCTATAATACAAGCCGTACAAGTCCTACAATTATTAGAATATATTTTACCTGAAACCGTCAAGAAAATCTAAATTTCAGGGCTATTTTGACATTAGAAAGTTGATCTTTACCTGACTAGTACTGTAATATTTTTGCCTGACGCCCATTACAGTCCTAGTACATGCAAAATAACAATTAGATCATTCATTGAATAAGTTATTCAATCAACGATTGGATAATTATAATGCAGACTATGTGGATATTTTTAAATATTAATATACCTACACAAAGGATAATGGTTTTTTATTACGAACAATTAATGGAATATGTGTGGAAGTAATTATTCCTTTAGTTTTACCCCAGTCATTAAAAGGTTTCTACGCCTTTTCGTACCTTTTTTTTGACTTTGTGGAGAGCGAATATTTCACTACAGCGGCCGCAGCTTCGGCTACATTATAACAACGTCTTGCATAGGTACTCTTCTTCACTGATACCTGCTTTTGTACATAGTTATAAAGACGGTATAGTTGAAAAGTACAAAGTATAAACTGAAACCTGCGTTAAAAATGACACTGACTGTTTTAATTATTTTGAAATCTCTATGGAAACAATTAAATAAAGCGATTTTGGCATGCGTGATTAGGTATCAAAATTTCACACATGAATAATTTAATTTGGAAAAGTTTTCTACATATTGCGGTTCAGGTATAATTTTATACATAATATGTCATGAAAGTGAGTCTACCTGACTTGGAGGCATTAAAGAGATACTCGGACGCGTAGCGTCCTCGTACTTTTCAATAAGCCTCCGCGTCATGTAAACGACCACGTTCATGACTTATTATGTAAATAACTTACCCAAAATCGTCACGAAACCTTCATTTTCATGCCTACTTTATGTCAGGAAAATATTAGTTTCCGTGACGGAGGCAGGCCAGTCTACTTTTCCCGCCGCCTGTCACTTTACCGGCCGCACCTGTCACATTGCTAAATGTCTATAATGACTCCTGTCATCATTGACAGATTGGCATTAATCAAAAGTTGTATATGAAAATTGAAATTTTATATTAAAATACGATTTCGGGTAAAATTTAATACAAGACTCGTCAGTAAAATGACATTACTTGACTCGGAAATTAAAATACTCTGTGGGGCCTTGTACTTCAATATTTCCTCGCCAGTAATGTGTCATTTTCCTGACTTTTAAGTAAATCACCATTGTACAGATGTTGTAAGGATAATCCATGGTCGATCAAAATTTTGCTTTTGCTAGCGTAAAGTCATTCGAATTATTGATTCTTTTTTAGCAGTTTTTACAGTTTTAGTATCAAATTAACCTCAGTGTCCGACGTTGGCATTGCTTACACAATATTTTATGTGCCGCCCTATTCACTACCCCTTTTGTCTGTACAGAAAAGGCTGAACGCGCCCTTTTGAACTCACAAGATTGCGACCCAAAGTTCAAACGTAATTTTTATTTTTATGTTTAGCACATACAGGGTGGCCCACTGAAAACAGTCAATGCCAATTTTGCCCACTTAACGACAGTTTTGCCAGAAACGCTCGAACACTTCAATTTTAGTTTTGAGGGGGGCACCTAAATTAAGTAATGCTATTTACATAACTTTAACCCTGAGAAGGGAGTGAATTGCACCCCAAAAATTTTAAATGGGCAGCGGTAGTAAATGTTAGATAGGTCGAAAGGAATGTTTATTGTTTTCAAAACTGTTTTTATTTTTCAAATCCGATCAGTAGTTCCACAGAACACTTGATTTAAATTGATTTGCAGAGCCGTTTTAAATGTTTATTAAGTAGGCGTTGAAGTGAAATAATGGACAGCTTGTCTCAGAAAAGAACATCTGACATCAGTGAATTCGCTTCATTGCTTGTGCACTTATGTGTACATAAATTGCATTTTTTAATACCAAAATAACTTAATAAATAATTGGATTATATGCTATAGTTATTGATTTTTACCTTCTTGGTACATGATTAAAGGGGGGGAAGGAGACTCCTTACACATAAGCACGTAAGGGTCGCCTGGAACGCATTCAACTACACGCTATAGAAAGCAAGAAGAATCAAGTTCTTACAAACATTCTCCGCAATATTGCCTTTTTTTCTTTGTAAATACCTTCCTGCGACACGCCATTTTCAAGATGTTCACACTTAACTTTTCATATCACCATTAGATGCCTCATTTAGACGTTCCAACCGCCCTTTGAGAGTACCTCCTCCCACACTTCCTTTTCAGTAGGCATTTCCAGTAAATATCTCTCGTCCAAACGTTCCACTTGCCTTCTATGAATAGGTACCCTGTTCTGCCACTTCGTTTTCAAGATAGTCGTTTGGACCTAGGCAATAGATATATGTCTTTTTCAGACGATTCATTTTGCCCCCGACAACCGTTTTCGAGATATTCACTGTTAAAATTTTTGACATCACCAATGAATATATTTCGTCCAGAAGTTCCAATCACATTTTGTAACTACGCTCCTCTTTTCTGAGATTTGACCGAAAATTGGTATTTTTTAAATGCAACACCCTGTATATCTTAACGTCAATTTTTTGTAATTCTTTTACCTGATCACATTGATTTATCACATCTTATATTTTGGTATATATTCAATCATATTTTTCAAATGACCGTTTGACCATTTTCATTGATTGGTATCGGCTGCTGTAGTTACCATGGATACAATAAACAAATTAAAATCTTCATGAATCTATGGCCTACTGTTTAAAAGCCGTCAAAGACAAAGTTTTTATTTTTGGTTTATAGCTAAAATTTTAAAAAAGTCATCAATTACTGTAATCAGGAAAACAAATGCAAAAAATTACCGTTAAGGTATACTTACAGGGTGTATTTAAAAAAAATTTTGACTATACCATTGGACCTTTTGGGTTATAAAGGACAAAAATTGGGATTTCATTTTTTTACCCGGGACAAACGAAGCACAATAGTACCTATATTATATACCATGAGACTAAAGTGTGTATTTGATCCTGAGGGTGCAGTTTGTTGTTGCTGTATCTCAAAAACAATTTGATTGATTTTGTTTATGGTATTAAAAGGTTACCAAAAACACAGGGTCGCTGAAACCTCAAGTCTCTTATCTTTGAAAACGGCTGAGATACACTGTAGCCTCAACCAAACTAGAACGCACTGTACATCCTAAGCATTTCCAAATATTCATCCTCTCATCAATTTTCACTACATAATGATCAAACTCCGATTTGCCTTTTTTGCAGGTGAGTTTGGGTTTTACTGTTAAAAGACGTTTGAATAATCTAATAGGGAGTTTAATTCCCCTTGACTGTCTGAGAATAAAACTGTTTAGGGTTTGATTCTCTCCAGAAAGAGACTTTACAATTGAATTTTTAATTTGCTGAATGTATCTTTTGTTAGTATGTAATTAACATTCGAATTTTACTTTTAGCGCCAGGAAGATCACCTTTAACCGTAGGATCCAGAGTTTCGCCACGCTTACATAAAGAAAATAGAATTCCCCATACCACAAAATCTGCAATCAGTGTACGCAAATTGTCAGGTACATGGCAAAATCCCTAAAATGTAGGGGTTTGACTAAACCGTTGCTCTGTTACAGATAAGAATGTTAATATAAAATCGAAATTGTCCGCACATTCTACGTACACATCGACCAGTCGTAAGTAAATGAAGACAATCTCAGATGCAATTGACATAATTTCCTATTTCAGGAATATAATGTAACAATAAGTTAAGATTTTATTTTTTTATATAGATATTTAATGTTTGTCTTTTTTTAATGTATAAACCACTAATATGTACAGTTGAAGAAATAAAAGTATTGTATGTTTTGCAAATGCACGTTTACTTAAGGTGGAAGTTGCAATAGTTCTCGAACGGCTTCCCCATATTTTGACACTGTGTAATCGTTTTCACCTACAACAGACCGGCTAACATGCGTGTGAGGTCAAAGACACAATTTACCTTCGTTCATTAATGAAGTCACAGCATTTGAGTAGACATCCGACTTTAATATCTCATTGCTCGATTTAGCAAATATGGATTCTATGTTCTTCTTAGATCGGCTGACATTCCAATCGTAAATCTCCATGTCCAAATCGGATTTATTTTTTTCCCACTCTTCTACGTTCTTAAATAAAGAATATATTTTATAATAGAAATTCACACAACCCTCATTGTGTTAAGTAAACCCTTTTTTAAGGTTGTGAAAAGAACTTCCAATAGATATTGAAAGATTTCCTTTCCTTACCCAAGACTCATGATAAACAGCAGTAAGTAAATACATTGCGTAATCGTAATTCTGTTGACGCAGTGGACAACGATCCGCAACAATCGTAACAACATCATTCTCCTCATTGTAACGGTCTCCGACAATTCTTCGAAATTTGTCTTTGGCATGCTCGTTTAACTGCAAACTGGACAATTTCAATTGCAACGTTACAATCCTGGCCAACGGATCTCGAATGCTCGGCGAAGAGTAACAGTAACTACTTGACGCAGTGTGTAACGGAAAATATTTCTCACACTTATCGTCTGTCTCCAAACCTTGTGGCCAAGGAGTGCAGAAGCGTTTCAAACTTTCACACTGACGCTTAATAACTGGAGGCGTTAAATGCAAAAAGTTTGGTATTTTCATGAGTTCGGCGTTTGCGTATTTCGATGGTGGCGCTGCTTTCTTTTGGGTGAAGCCTTGGCGGATCGGTAACGGTACTGTGGCGGGGTGAAACGAGCGTGGCCCGGGCCACACGTTACCCCAATCTTGATCGATTGGCATTTTATTTGTTCTACGTAATCATAAATAATTAAATGCTATTTTTGTATTTGTAATACTACCTTGGCGGCAATACATCTGGTTTTTGTAATCTTTTGCGGGCAGATTGCTGAGTTCTTGTGGTTTTCAAGTTAAGCACGCGAAATTCTGTAAAAAAATTGTTTTTAAAAGTAGTTTGCGTTTGCGTAAAAATCACCTAGTTCTTCACTAAAGGATCTGTGAAAAATTGTAGAGGTCCATAGTTTAATATGACTTTTAGTATTATTACACCGACAACTCAAATTTATAATATTCCACATTATTTTCTAAAATTAATATTTTTGCGGTTAAAAAGTTAGGTTATAGAAAGTGGTATCTCTTGTATTTGGACTGTGTCTCTATTACGGCGATAATTTTGTATATACCGAGTGACTAAGCAAACGGTCTAGCACGTAGCATATTTTATCGTGAACTAGTCATAAGCGTCATACGTTAGTCATTTTGAGAAATTCGATTATTAAAATCACTGAAGTTTGGAACCGGAATTGAAAAATAAGTCATAAGCGAAAATCTTGTCATTCCACAAACACTCTTCGCCCTCCACACTCAAACGGTAGGTAGGAGCTTTATGCCACAATAAGCTAGCATTTTTTTATTTCACAAATGAACCCAAATGAATCATATCGAATGGTTCTGCCACCCTTTCGATCGGATGCGTGGTTCGAATGGAATTTTAGTCGATTACAAAATCACCACAGCCCGATTTTGCCTACAATCTTTTGTCAAGTGACCAAGTCTATTACAATTGGTGCAACCTCAATCTTTCAAGAATTGGAATGCTGTTCCTTTTCTTATGTTCCTCCCTCAATCGCTATAAATACTCGGCATACAAACGTTCAGGGGTGTCGTATCCGCTCGCCTTCGCCCTATTTTGAGCAAAGTGGGACACAATACCACTACTGCTTTGCTGAAAACGATCCTTACGCCAAAATAGCAACCCTTTATTCCACAACACAAACTTCAACGATTTATACAATACAATTATTTTACACCACATATGCGCTCTTCTATCGCTTAGCGCACGTTCCGGAAATGCCCGATGATTCCCGACTTTTGAATTTCTTAACACCTTGGAAGAAGTTGAATCAATTCCAATATTGAATAAAAAAAATAATTTTATTCCTTCAAATTTGCACACGATATAATACTACAACATTTCACAGACGGACAGACATTTTTGCTAATCATTGGAAACTTTATGTGTTAAAAGGTGATTCTTGGAGTAATTTTTTTTATTTGTCCCATAATTTACCTATAAGTAACTAATTAGAATTCTTATAGGCATGTTTCAGGAGGTGATTTTTGAAGTAGTATTTATTATTTGTACCAAAATCACAATCAGCACATTTAAAATCCTTAGCAACTTTATGTGTTAAAAGGTGTTGATTAAAGATATATTTATTGTTTGTCCCATATGCACAATCGCCACATTTAAAATCCTTAGAAATTTTATGTGTTAAAAGATGTTGATTAAAGTTGTTTTTATAATTTGTCCCATAATTACAATCAGCACAATTAAAAACCTTCAAAACTTTATGTTTCAAAACATGTTGTTTCAGGTTGCGTTTATCATTTGTCCCATAATAACAATCAGCACATTTAAAATTTGTCAGAACTTTATGTTTTAAAAGGTGTCGGTCAAATGTATATTTATTGTTTGTCCCATAATCACAATCAGCACATTTAAACTCCTTAGAAACGTTATGTTGTAAAAGGTGTCGTGTGAAGTGCTTTTTCACATTGGTCCCATAATCACATTTAACGCATTTAAAATGTTTGGAAATTTTATGATTTAAAAGGTGTTGGTTAAAGTAATATTTATTGTTTGTTTCATAATCACAATTGTCACATTTCAAATCCTTGAAAACTTTATGTTTTAAAAGGTGTTTTTTAAAGTGATATTTATTATGGGTCTCATAATCACAATCAGCACATTTAAAATCCTTGGCAACTTTATGTTTTAACAGATGTTGGTTAAAGTTGCATTTATAATTGGTCTCATAATCACAATTGGCACATTTAAAATCCTTAGAAACTTTATGTTTTAAAAGATGGTGTTTGAAGTTGGGTTTATCATTTGTCCAATAATCACAATCAGCACATTTAAAATACCTAGCTGATACACGATGTTGTTTAAGGCTGCTGTTATAATTTGTCTTATAATCACAATCAGCCCATTTAGACTGAGTTAAAAGGTGAAAATCAGAGTGTTGCTGTACTTCTTCACTATAAATAGATTTAGAACACTGTGCATTAATGGTTATTTCGTTTTTTATTGTAACCAAAGCTTCGTTGCTCACCAAAATGTTTCCTTGAAGAGAGGAATGGATTTCTTCTTCCTGCTTTGGTTCGATTTTAACGAGAGGTGTACCATCATCCCCATCCATACCAAAGAACAATAATATCATCAAGAAGTGTGTTCAAACTGTTATTCGGTAGTTGCACGTGCTTTACTGCTTACTTCACTGCTCTTTTGTTTAAAAAGTTTAATGCAAAAGCCAATGTAAAAAAAACTTAGACCATATAGTACATGGACTGCTATTCGCCCTATGCTTTCAATACAAAATGGATGGTCACGGATAGAGGGCACTGTAGTCGTGGGTATGTGAAGGGTAAACTAAAGTCGTGTAAACACCACTAATAATGAATTAAAGGAGATGCTAAGATTTGGTACGACATGGTACCTAGATGAGAAAATTAAAGATTTTGAAACTTTTGGGGAAAATGTTAGGAAACAATATCGAAGAGAAATGAGAACAAAAAGATTTCACTACCTTTTGGTTTTTCGGAAAAGTAACAAATGAATATCAGTTTATGCTGCACAAAGAGATTTGAACAAGAGAAGAAAGAACAGCTTTATAGTAACCGCGTAGTACGGGAAGCTTTAAATACTCTTTATTATTTGCTATACGTCCACAAATAAGAATAAGTTTGCTTTTTTTGGGATATCTAGGCGATTCATTAATTGACGTTTGTTAATTTATAGGTTGACAGTCTCAAATCGTGTCTCATCGGACAACTTCGGACAGACTCGTTTACCCTGAAACTCACATACCCAGGCGATGTCCTTGACCATATTTTAGTTACAATTAGCAGTCCATGTACTATATGGTCTAAGAAAAAAAATGTAGACATTTATTTATCCCACTCAGCACTAGGTAACTAATTTATTGAATATTTACCTGACATAAAAACAGCTGTTCTCAACTCAAATGCAATGTTGTCAAATCATATGTTTATGTACCTACATTACATGTTTATTCCAAAGCTTTATTCATTCCTCTTCACGGTAATATTCTTATACCTTGCTCGGCCATAATAGACATACCGAGATATTATGCTCCTAACCCTGACTGATAAGTGCTGCCACGTGCTGTCTAATTGTGGTACTATCTGATTATTCAATATAATAATGGTTTGTATACTCTAATTTAAAGGATATCTGCCATAAGAATAGCGTCTGCGCCTGCTGGTTAGTTCTCCTTTATCGTCGTGTTTAATACAAAACTTTATTTTATAGCATTTATAGCAGAAGCCATATAAATCATTGCTTCTGACAATTCTGAATTTAATTTAGACGTCAAAAATAGCAAGCTTAGGTTCCACCGTAGTTGTAGTCGTTTTGATAGAAACAGTATTGTACTTCTGAACTTCATTTTATTTCGTGCGCCGCGTCCCATTTGAAATATGAATAACAGAGATTTACTCATTAGACTCCACAATCATCTGTTTCACTTTATCCACCCTTGTTAAAGTGATCACGTTATCTACCCTTACGGGTAAAGAGTGACTCATATTCAATCCGATTATAAAATGTCATTTAACATCCTGTTATAAAATAAACATACAAAATTCAACTCGGCAGTATGATAGTATGACCGTTTAAGCTAGGGAAAATGAAAACGAAATTTGACATTTTCAGTTTTGTTTACTTTGCCCCCATTTAACGTCCACCTCTCACCCTCTCAGCGTTCGCAGATCCTAATGGTGCGCCACGAATTTGGACCAACCTGTACAGGGTCTTCCATTAAAAAAATGCAATTTTGATGTGCCACGCTTTCATGACCAACCCTACAACTTTTTTTTGATACCTTGTAAATTTTCCCCGATAATTCCACGGTTTCCAGACTTATCAGCTACCCTGCACAATCGCAATTCTTAAGAAAGCGGTTTTCAGAAAGGATAGGATTAGGTAATAGGTTACATTTTCAAGTTTCAAAAACGGCATGATAAACTCAATTCACTTTAAAATCAGTTGAATTTCCCTAATAAAAACCTGCTAGAATGCTTACAAAACGCTCCTAACACAAGGGCTACAGTCGAGAGTTGCTGAGGTCGTGTGCCCCAGGTAGAGAACGCACCATGCGGAAATGGCAATGTATTTTTTCGCGAAGGATTCACGAGGCCTTTGAAATTAGCGTTTAACGTACTACTCTGTGATGTACCCAAGTCGACAGCTCCCGCGCTAACGAAAGCGGGAAAAACACGAACTCGGAACACCTGCGTAGTAACACAAACCTCGCACTCGACAATGTCCGGAACACCTACGTTGTGGAAGGCCAGGTTGCACTCACTCGTACCCATGCTAATTATCGGAAAGGCGGAACGCAAATAATACGCTTAATTGAAATTGAAACACAAATAAAGTTTATTAAAGAACTGATCAAAAGTGTAAAAAATGAATCAAAAGGCCGAAAGACATCCTACAAATTTAGACAGAATACATTTAAAGCCAAAAAGTGCCAGGTTCCCCTAGAACTCATCGGACAAAAGAACCGTGCTAAAGAAAATTCCGACTCACTGTTCACAGAGGTGAAATCTAGAGGGAAAATCTGGAGAATGAGAGGTAACATTGGATAATGCTAAACACATTTTACAACACAGCTACAATAGTTATACAAAGAATAATAATCCGAGTAAGTAACGCTTGATTTGGACCGATTGAAATCTGACGTTAATGCAATACAAACTTGATAAGTTAAAGGATGGCCGTCACAAGTAGATTTAAAAAGCACCTTCAATCCCTTCTCATGTGTGAAAGATACATTCCGAAGTCTCTTACATAAAGTGCATAAAATAAACATCATTAATTAGCCAGACCTCCTCCAATCTAGCAGGTATCTAAGATCCTGGATACGGTAACCTTAGACTAAAGTTGTCGTTCGAAATACATGCCGCTAAGTATCTTTATCACTCCGGCATATACCTCTGCAAGGGCGAAACGGTTAATTACACTCAAAAAAAGGCTGATTCGTACACAAAGAATTGAAGTCGCTAATCAATCTAAATGGGTTCAAAACAAACACATGAAAATTGATAACTGGCCAATCTTCAACAAATCAAACAGGAACCACTTTTACATGAAAGCAAATTACACCAAATTTAAGAATCACTTTACCCTGCATTACAACTAGCTGAAGGCAACATAATCTACAATATAAATCAATTACAACTAAGTACATTACCTTTCTGTTACAATGAGCAGCACCCTTGATCACCCAAAGCAAAGTGAACTCAAAGACAAAAATGAACCTGTGGGAGCTCTAAAAAGCTAACTCGGCAAAAACTAAATCTATCCACCATTTCCTCCCTATACAGACTACCATTGTTATAATTGCTGACATTGAAGACTGAATACATTGTTGAATAATAAACCTATTGTTTTTTCATGGGAACGCTATTGAATTGTGGCTCGGTATCTGGCAACGGTAGCTTAAACGGTGTCTCAATATACGGTAACGGAACTTCTTGTTTGAAATTTGAAAGCAGACATCTCAACTCTAATCTCTTTCTAGCATCAGACAAACGCAATAACGTACATACGGAACGTTAACTTCAAATATACAGTGGCACCACGCTCAGAAAGTCCCTGACAGAGCGTGTCCGAGGGCCCTAGAAATATAGACCGTACATTCTGATACAAAATTTAAAAACACTTTATCACACCTTATCCGATCGTAGATCCAAGCTATATGTGTCTTGAAAAAGACGAGTTTATATAAAACTGGAGACGGAAAACGTAAAATAAAGCAAATACAAGAAGCAAAGTGTAAACTAAACTAACGTGAAGCGTCAACTGTCAAAACGGAATAATTAATAATTATGGCGCGGAATGTATCGCGTCGTTTTGCAGACTTTCCATTGGCCAGCCTGAATTATTTCAAAATTAGTTCGCATATTTTCCGGGGCTTTTCTGAGCATGGTGGCCTTGTATATCAAAGACGTCGTGGAGCCTTTGCGAAAATAAATTAATTCTGTTTGCCTATGGTGTTTTCAACCTGGGACACACGGTATATGCGCAATGTGCATGCCCAACGGCACCGCAACTCTCTGTTGCCGCCAGTATCCCAACTACACACGCCATTTGTAAAATACACCAACGCTTTTATTAATACCCTACTGTAAACTGGTCTTAACCGTTTGGGGATATTTACGTGCACGAGCGGCGGCTCTGCATGGTGACAAAGCATTGCATTGTTCTTTGTTGGCTACCATGCAAGAAGTTGCTGGTGCCAGTTTGCTGTGTGTCCAAAGGATTAATTTTTAGTGCATTTTAAATAGAATTATTATTGTAAAGAACAGCACCGCAACCAATAATGGATACAAGAAAATTAATTGACCTTCTTAGGGCAACTATAGACCCAAACCAGCGACAACAGGCCGAGGAGCAACTTGCTCAGGTTGGGAAAAACATGTGCTCCCTGCATGCACTAACAATTTTTTTTCTTAACAGATTCACAAAATCATTGGATTTGCTCCATCACTTTTGCAAGTCATAATGATGAACGACTGTGACATGCCGATTAGGCAAGCCGGTGCAATTTACCTAAAGAATCTTATATCCCAAAATTGGCATGATCGAGAAACTGAGCCAGGACAAGCCCTCCCATTTTCATTGCACGAACAAGATCGATCCTTAATTAGGGAAAGCATTGTCGATGCAGTAGTTCACGCTCCCGAACTCATACGTACTCAATTATGCACGTGTATTAATACAATGGTTAAACACGATTTTCCTGGGAGATGGACACAAATTGTTGATAAGGTATTTAGATAATTACCCGCACAATTTTCCACTCAACTTCGAACTTGTAGATTAGTATATATTTATCAAATCCAGAGACTAGCGGTTGGCACGGCGCTTTGTTATGCTTATATCAACTAGTGAAAAATTTCGAATATAAGAAGGCGGAGGAACGAGGACCTTTACACGAGGCGATGAACTTGCTTTTACCTCAATTATATCAATTAGTAGCTAGATTATTACCGGACCCGTCTGAACAAGCGGTGCTTTTGCAAAAGGAAGCTTTAAAAATTTACTTCGCCTTAACGCAGTACACGCTCCCATTGGACCTCATTAGCCGCGATGCCTTCACCCAGTGGATGGAAATATGCAGGCAGGTAGCCGAACGGCCGGTACCGCCCGCCGCTTTGCAACCCGACGAAGACGAGCGACCAGATTTACCTTGGTGGAAATGTAAAAAGTGGTCGCTTCACATTCTGTATCGTATGTTCGAGAGGTACGGCTCGCCGGGAAACGTGACGAAAGAATACAATCAGTTTGCCGAATGGTATCTGCAGACGTTTAGCGGCGGAATTCTCGAAGTTTTATTGCGCTTACTGGATGCCTATCGTAATAAAGCTTGGTTGCCTCCCAGAGTTTTGCAACAAACTCTTAATTATTTAAACCAAGCTGTTTCGCATGCGCATACCTGGCGGTTACTGAAGCCTCATATGCCTACGATAATACAAGATGTATTATTTCCACTTATGAGTTATTCGGCAGAGGATGAGGAGCTGTGGACGGTCGACCCTCACGAATATATTCGTGTCAAATTTGGTAATTTTTTGAATTTAATTGTCATTTTGCTTTCATCATTACACAATCAAAATTGGGCTTACAGAAACTACAGTGAGTTTTTCCTAAAGCTGAACGTACTATTTTCACCATTGTTCAGTTTTGAAAAAACACAGCAACTTAATTGGTACGTGGCTTGATTTTCCATCTGTGAACTACCTTTCAATGTTGTGCACTTATTTGGCAGGTGCATAAAAAATCATAAGAATCAGATTTTCTTAATTTTTATGTAATAATATTATTTATTGAATGTCTTTATTTGGGTCACAGTATATTATTACAAAAATGTAACTGCCTAAAGCATATAATAATTTTATATACACTTTACAGTTAGGCCGCGCTATTCCAAAAAGTTTACTTCTTAAAAAGAACTACATAGATGGCAGTGAAACACACTGCTGAAATTAATTTAGCATAAAAGTAAACCATATGCAGTGTCAATATTCATCTACAGCTCTGATTTATTATATTACAGAGTTTAAATTTTTACACTGATATTCTATCTGCATTTGCCATCTGAAATATAATCCCTGAGCCATAAACAGAGTGTTCCTAAATATGGAATGGCTTATTTTATGACTAAGTAAAAGTTCATAGAAACATAGGTTCACAAATGCTTCATTACTGCAGGATTTTATTATAGGTCTCTGTACACTTTACAATTTAACCTTTAATTTATATACATATGCAAACACAAGATGCAATTTCCAATGCTAACTGTCAAAATTAATAAAAACAAGATGCAAACAAAAGCAGAGCTAATTACCATTTTAACTACTGAAAATGGATTTTTTTTTCACAATCTACCAGTGGCGCACCGAAAAAAAGTTCAGGGGTAGAAAATGGAACATGGTCCCTGAAAAAACACCTTGTAGAGTTTCACTACCATTCACATTATTAATGATGTAAGCCCTTCAGCGTAACTTATATTTCAAATTTGAGCCAAATATTTCAAAAACTGCTGAAGATATAACGAACAAGTAAAAAGGTTTTTGCTCTAAGGCGAATAACTTCAGCGCATCCCAAAAGTTAATAGTTATGTGCGCTATGTTTTTCTGTACTAGAGCCATCTATGGTTAAAATTTCAAAGAAAATAAAGAAGGAAGTTGGCACTGTAGACTGCGCATGCGCACATCTAATGTTCACAATATGAGATATGTTTGCCTTTACCAGAAGTATCTGTTGTAAAAATGCCAACAAAATACATCTAAATAAAAAAGTTGATATTGCGCAGCCTGTGCATGCGCACATTATTCGTCAAGATTTTCTTGGCTCAGCTGCCAGAGCTATAAGCCATCAAATTCAAAAAGAATGAACTAAATATATTGAAAACTGTAGGAGGAGTTAAGGTATCGGACAGGCGTACGGACAGACGAACAGAGAAAGTGGCTGCAATAGCGTACCCAACTTCGTTGGAAAATGCAGTAAAAAAAACTTTAAAACTCCCTGTACCTGTAGATGTAACAAAGCGTTTGCGGACCTATGTTTGTATGAACTTTTAGTAATAAAATAAGGCAAAAAACATTATATTTAGGAACACTCTGTATGTTGTCACATTGAACAAGATACGCTGTGGTCATACCTGTCATATGCTCGCTTTGCATTGCTCACGTCGGACAGAGGGGTATCTCTTTTAATAAAAATGATGAAGTCTAGTCATCATGCTTTTAAAAAAAACAGAAAATTCAGATCTCTTCCGAAGAAGAAAAACCGAAATTTAACGACCTTGTATATATTTCTTTCTGATGTAATTTGAACAGATACAAAAAAATAGAAAACACTTTCTCATTACCACTTTTTTGCACTCTACAAGACACCATTGAGAGATTTTCAATACAACGTTTCGTTTCGGAGATATCATTGTTTTATATAACCCGTAAAAAAAGTACGCACTGTATTGAATAGAATTTTTTTAAACAGAATGGACTTTTAGGTCCCAAGAGATCGTGGCAACCCGTTCGCATTCCGCAATACGTTTCCTGTTATCGCCATACATACTTTCGTTCACGTTCGCTGTGAAGCGATACATGTGGAAATTTCCCTATGATATATAAATGCAAAGTCAAATTTTTGAAACCGTTCAAGCAAATAGTGAATGTTTTCTGTAGAAAGATTCACCTTCGATTGGCTTGCTTTCAGTTTTCTTTATTAAATTTAAAAAAATGGAAAGGATAATATTACACTGTCATCAATATTTGTGATGGCGTAGAGTAGGTAATTGTTCTTTGTATAGCTTTCTAGCCACTAATATTGGTCAATGTCATGATACAGAATGCTCATTTTTTTCTTAAACGCGTGTTCTACTGCGCATTACGTCACGTGCGAAACTTTGGCGCCAAAATTCAAATGTTTACAGCATGATCTAATTTTTAGCTTCCTAGAGCGCGAGCTAGGTATCTATTGCGACAGCCGTTTTTTGGACATCAAATGTCGACGTTTTAGATCATTTTAAGCAACTTTTAAAGAATAAATTTTTTTCCGTCTGTATGTACGTATGTACTTACGTATGTTGGCAATTTTCCAAGAAAACGGCTCGATGGATTTTGTTCAAATTTTGTATATGAATATTAGGCATACGGAACAGAAAAATAACGGACCGGATTTTTGAAAAAAAAATTTGGAGCACCACAACGGCATCGAACTTTTTTTTTTTCAAATTGCAACCTAACATTTTTATTACGTTATTCGAAAGACCTTATATTTCGCGTACAACCTACAAAAATTGTCCAGGTTTTATTACAAAAAACTGTCACGGTTAAAAAAAGTAAAATATCTGTTATTGTCATCGTTGGAACACTAACATTCACGACAGCTGCATAGTACGTTGCTAACATTGGTTTTTAATTTTTTTGCTCCCTTTTGCCATTTCTATTTCAGAGATCATTTTTGCAGTGAAGTGAAATTGAAAATTGATTTGTTTAGAATTCCTTCTTTTGGATACCTTCATGTTCATTATAATTGCAATAAGAAATCGGGAAAAATTTAAAGGAAATTTTGATGGTAGGTCCAGTAAATAAAATCCATGCGCAAAACTCAACTTTCTTACTTCCTCTAACAATAATAAATAAAATGCATGAGCAAAAAATCGCGTTGCGCATTCAAATACTAACCGGGAGCAACGTTGCTTGATTTTAGACAATAAAGGAATGAATTATTGGTAATAATAATTATAATTATTAAACACAAACAAAAGGTGGTTTTGAGCTAGGAAGCTGTTCTGTCAAGAATTTGGCACCTGGTTTAAATTTTCCTAATTAGATTTATTGCCGAATTTTTGATAAAATAATGAGAAATGCGCCTGAATATGAACTAATTCGTATATCATTATATGAAAAAAAAAGCTTCTTTGGATTGGTGTCATTATGAACCCTCTAAGTTAACATGGGGAGCAACGATAAATAAAAGGTTTTTCCCATGTTAATTGCCTATGTTCGGTTTTGAAATATTCACCTGGTATATTTCCCAATAAACTCTAATTTTCTTTGAATTTCTATCTAAACGAAGAACTATGCAAATTTACCTAATACCTAATAGTGGAGCGTATACAAATATTAAAAAGTAAATTGAAACCCGTATTGATTTTTATTCCAAGTGCCTACTTATATATTATTTGCGCAATGCACTATTTTAAAAACGTCGTTAATTTTATTTATATTCGTAGTGTTTACGTATAAAATTTCATTTAAATATTTTCATGAATAGTTTACATTGCACATGCAAATTTTAGACACTGCGCATGCGCAGAATCACATTTTGCAATCGTTATTACTTTCACTTTTTTGCTAAGTAAATATGAAATCTAATTTATATATCTTCATAAATAAGAAAGCATTATACATTTTCGCCAGCCTGACGGACGGTAAAGTGCGGCCAATAATAGCGTTTGTAAAGAAAATACGCTACAAACATGGTAAATGGTCATCGTGCCGTTTATTCCATTGTGACCAAAAAGTTGTGCTTTTATATTGTTTGATTAATATGAGAATGTATGAATACATCCTGTAACGTCGTAATGTGAACCAATAAATTAAGATATCCCCTCTGTGAAGAACAGACGGAACCAGATCTGATAGAAGGAAGTTATACTGGTTGCCTATGCTGCAGAGTTTGTTTGGCGATCATTACTTTCAAACCAAAGTTGGTTTATTACTCGAAGAAAAAAAAAATTGTTGGCCCACTGTTTCTGGAATTTGACCCAATGTTGGTATTTTTGTATGCAACGCTCTGTATATCTCGGCGTCAAATTTTTTTTAATTTTAGCCGTAGATTCATGGAAATTTTGTTTTGTTTATTTAACTAAAGTAAAGCAATCGATACCAACCAATAAAAATATCTTAAGCCCTAATGTATGTTCAGAGCCCCAATGCCATATAATTGGCATTTTCTTATTCTGTATGGTGTCTGGTTAAACAAATAGAAAAGGTGGTCCAAAATTGTTTGATTACGCCACTGGATTCTACGCAAGAATATCTAAAGTAGGCAGTTTTTATCTTTTTTAACGCATTTCCACAAAAATAAAAAAAATGCGGTATTGTGGTCACGTTGTCCGTCCGCTCTTTCGTTGAGACGCTACTAGTTTTTTATCTTAAGAGCTATTACTCTACTTTTTTCGCTATTTGGTTCGTTATGGTGTCGAGGCTTGCACCAAGGAAGTTTTTCTGTGTTTATTGCTAGAAAAGTTATTGTAAAGAAAACAAAAAACCATTTTTTACATGTTCCATTATTTTACACTTTTGTCGTTTATTAACGATCCTAGAGATCGTTTATAATTTTGTATTGCTGTCTGTCGTCCGTCTGTTGGTCTATCCGTGTGAACGATAACTTTGTTTAGAAATGTTCGATCGCTTTGACACCTCCGTTAGTTATGAACTGCATTGCATAAAATTTAATATGGGCATAGCTTTAGCCATATAATAGCAATGCCAAAAGTTGAGTTGAATCGATTCACAATGCCCTTTTCGCATCTCGACTATTTATAAACCAAATTGCACACTTTTTAGCGCATTTCCACAAAAATAAAAAAAAAATGCGCTATTGTGGCCACTTTGTCCGGCTGTCCGTCCGCTCGTTTTGCGACGCTACTAGTTCTTTATCTTAAGAGCTATTGTTCGTTATGGTGTCGAGGCTTGCACCAAGGAAGGAATTTTTTCTGTACCGCTTACAAAAAAAAGTTATTGTAAAAAAAACAAAAAACCGTTTTTTACATGTTCCATAATTTTACACTTTTGCCGTTTATTAACGATCCTAGAGATCGTTTATAATTTTGCATTGCTATCTGTCGTCTGCATGCTGGTCTGTCCGTCTGTTCCTTTGTCGGTCTGTCCATCTATCTGTCCGTGTGAACGATAACTTTGTTTAGAAATGTTCGATCGCTTTTACATCTCCGTTAGTTATGAACTGAATTGCATGATATTCAATATGGGCATAGCTTTAACCATATAATACGCAATGCCAAAAGTTGAATCGAATCGATTCAAAATTCACAGTGCCCTTTTCGCATCTCGACCATTTATAAGCCGAATTGCAAACTTTTTTACTATAAAAGTATTTGAATGAAATTTGATACATAGGCACTTGGAATAAAGGAAAATCAAACGCCAATTTCAAAATTTGGTTTTGCGCATGCGCAGTGCCAACTTTTTTATTTGCGGAAGAATTTACACGAAATTTGATACATAGGCACTTGGGATAAAAGAAAATCAAACGCCAATTTCAAAATTTGGTTTTGCGCATGCGCAGTGCCAACTTTTTTATTTATGGAAGAATTTAAACGAAATTTGATACATAGGCACTTGGGATAAAGGAAAATCAAACCCCAATTTCAAAATTTGGTTTTGCGCATGCGCAGTGCCAACTTTTTTATTTATGGAAGAATTTAAACGAAATTTTATACATAGGCACTTGGGATAAAGGAAAATCAAACGCCAATTTCAAAATTTGGTTTTGCGCATGCGTAGTGCCAACTTTTTTATTTATGGAAGAATTTAAACGAAATTTGATACATAGGCACTTCGAATAAAGGAAAATCAAACGCCAATTTCAAAATTTGGCTTTGCGCATGCGCAGTGCCAACTTTTTTATTTATGGAAGAATTTAAATGAAATGTGATACATAGGTACTTGGAATAAAGGATCATCGAGCGCCAGTCTCAAAATTTTCCTTTGCGCATGCGCAGTGCCGACTTTTTTATCTATGGCACCATTTAAGTGAAATTTGATACTTAGGCGCTTGGAACAAAGGAAAATCTAAATTAGTTTTAAAATTTAGGTTTGCGCATGCGCAGTTCCAACTTTCTTATTTAGAAAATCATTGAAATGAAATTCTTCTCATAAACTGAAATTGAAGTAACACGTCAAAAATGGATTGCCCATGTGCAACGCTATCTTTCATATTTGTGGCCGGATTTTTACGATTTTATCAGAAGTTGCATCTTATAAATGGAAAATGAATGCAAGTGGAAATGCGCTTTATGTAAATCGTTTACGATTACTTTTTAACTTGTTTATTTATAAAAGTGTTTAAATGAAATTGGATACATAGGCGCTTGGAATAAAGGAAAATCTAACGCCAGTTTCAAAATTTGGTTTTGCGCATGCGCAGTGCTAACTTTTTTATTTATGGAAGCATTTAAATGAAATTTGATACTTTTCTGCTAAATCCCCAGAAGTCAACATTGTATGGCCACACTGTAAGGTGTAGATGGGATGGTGCTATTGAAATTTTGGTAAAAGAACATGCTACAGGCTTCTGTTTGAGAAAATATCACTTAAAATTTTCTTATCTCACAGATGTATTCGAAGATTTCGTCTCTCCGGTGACTGCCGCTCAAGCTCTTCTTCATTCCGCCTGCAAGAAACGCAAGGAGATGTTACAAAAAACGATGCAGTTGCTAAACCAAATATTAATAAACCCCGCGACGGAAGCCGCACAAAAAGATGGAGCCCTACACATGGTGGGATCGTTAGCCGACATATTGCTTAAAAAGAAAGGATACTGCGAGCAACTAGATCAGCTGTTCATTAAATACGTCTTTCCCGAGTTCTCCAGTCCGAGAGGTCACATGCGCGCGCGCGCCTGTTGGGTGCTTCACTATTTCAGCGAATTTGCGTTCAAGCAGGAGGCGGTGTTGGCCGAGGCGATGCGATTGACCGTCAACGCGCTTCTGCAGGACAAGGAATTACCCGTGAAGGTGGAAGCCGCCGTAGCTCTGCAGTCATTGTTAAATTACCAGGATCGTTGTCACCGCTATGTGGAACCGCAAGTGAAGCAAATAGCGCTCGAACTGCTGACTATCATTAGAGAGACGGAAAACGAGGATGTAACCAGCGTTATGCAGAAGCTCGTGTGCGTTTTTACACAGCAACTCGCTTGCATTGCCGCCGAAATTTGCCAACACTTAGCAACGACCTTTAGCAAGGTAGCTCACGAGGTATAATCCTTGTCTCTACTTCATTCCATTTCAGGTGCTCGATACTGATGAAGGTTCCGATGAAAAGGCGATAACAGCGATGGGTTTGTTAAACACTATTGAAACACTACTTACCGTCTTAGAAGAGCAACCGGAAGTTTTGCAACAGCTGGAACCGACCGTTTTACAAGTAGTTGCGCACGTTTTACAGAACGAGGTGCAAGAATTCTACGAGGAAGTTCTCTCGCTGATTTACGACCTCACCTGCAAACACATCTCGCCGGACATGTGGCGCGTTTTCGAACTGCTGTATCAAGTTTTTATGAAGAACGGCCTGGATCACTTCACCGACATGATGCCCTCATTGCATAACTATATCACCGTCGATACGGACGGATTTTTAGCCGACGAGAAACGATTACTCGCCATTTACTCCATGTGCAAGCAAGTTTTGAATAAGGATTGCGGCGAAGATCCCGAATCTCACGCCGCCAAATTACTTGAGGTCGTTTTGCTTCAATGTCGAGGTCGCATCGATAACGCCGCACCTTTACTTGTAGAGTTGGCTGCTTCTAGGTAGGTAATAATCGTGCTATGTGTAATGGCATACAGTCACTAAAATAAAGAAAGGCACTCAAGGCCTGTGAACAGTATACCACGCTCATGCGATCGATTGAAACAAATCAATTAAAAGAAACCAACTAATGTTGTTTTTTAAATCTTCATTTGTTTTCTCTCTTCATTATTGACTTCTAAGAAATTTCAATTGTAGATGTGACTTTTTGGTGCTGGATAACTCAATTTAACGGACATACTTGGAAAACCTTATAGAGGTTTCACTTGTGCATTTACTGCTCGATCGACAGACACTCAAACTACTCAGAATACGTGACCCACATAACATGAGCTAGACTATTCACTTTTACAAACAAATTAAGTCTCTTGAATCACTTTCTTCAACCACCAAGACTGACTGTCCTTCACCAAAAAGCCCCATTTAACTTCTTTTCCTTTTTAATCATTCTTCCCTCCTCAGACCTTTTGATCCTGACCGTATATCATTTTAAAAGCATTAAGCAATCACATCCATATTTGGCCGCAGTCACATCCATATTTGGCCGCAGTCACATCCATATTTGGCCACAGTCCAATTTCGAAGGAACGACGGTTGGTGCTCCCCCACTCGTACAATGAACTGTCCCTCTTCGTTAAACTAGCATATGTTAAATACGGAGAACACTGTTTATCTTTTAATGAAACTGTAAAAAAAACTCCTTATCGCCAGACCGAATTAAATTAAAAAAACATTTCTCGTCTCGACGATTCATGGTTAAGAGGAAAAATGTTTTTTTCCTAAAATATACCAAACAAATATGCATAAAAATACATGCATCGCAATCTTGTATGAATTTTGCATCCAGTACATATTACTTTTGCTCAGAAAATATGAGAAGGAGCACCTCTCTTTAAGGAGTGTAACTTCGGTGTAGGTTAACCGATTTTGACATAATTGGTCTCATTCTAAGCGTGTAGTAATCAGATTTGACATAAATTGAGTATTTTTAGTATACGTGATTAGTGGTAGAGGGCGCGGTTTGACATGAAAATAAACTTTGCAGATTTTCTTGAAAATTTCAAATGAAACGATACAATTATTATATGATATAAGATGAAAAAGTGAAAATATCAATGAAAACCGCATTTTGATATCTGTTTCCAAAGCGGAAATATGGCACATCCACAAATTTAAACTGCAATATTTATATTCATCAAGTTGGATTTGAAACAAAAGAACACATAACAAGCGATAATTAAAATTAACACTCAAATTATGAGCAACAAATAAATTATTCAAATTTTAAATCGGAGAAATATAAATTACATAATAAAAGAAACTATGAACTAGTAAGAAAATATGACAAATGTAAATGTTCAAAATGTGTGATTCTTTTGTGTTAAAGCCAGCTTAGATGAATATTGCAATTTCCATTTGTAAATGTGTGTATTTTCGCCCTATCTCTGCTTAGGAAACAGATATCAAAACGCGGTTTTTACTGATATTTCCACTTTTTCTACCACTAATCACTTTACCACAAAGACTATTGATGTAAAATCTGATGACGTGAAGAGAGCTCTTTCCAATAAGACCAATTATGTGAAAGTCTTGTTCCTAACCTAAAATTTAGGCCAAAGAAAATTTTATACCCTCAACATTTTATTTTTTTAAGCTAATTTTTCCGGAATTATTTTTGTTATATAATTTGTAAAAAAGGAAGCTTTTAATGCCGCCGTAAATGTTCGAAATGTTGACCATCACGATATATATCTATCTATGTCATATATATCTCAAGATATCGAGATGCTGTTTTCGCGAGCTTGTTTAGGCATCATTTAGCTACTTTTTCATGGGGAAAAAAATCGAACCAATGCATTTAATTTTTTTGAGAAAATTAACCATTTCTGTCGGAATGTCGAAAAAAGCCCTGAAGCGGTGACATGTGAAACTAACAAAACTTCAAATATTATAATATTTGTAGCTGAAGAATAGCTCTTTTGAACTAACCCGAGTGTGTTTAAATTGGGTTAGCCGTTTCGAAGATACAGGGTGTTCTTTACGGAAACCTTTGATTACCCCCCACCACTTCAGTTTTAGAGATACAGGAATTGTCAAGCAAAAAAGGTTCAGATTATCGTCGACTTCAAAGACCGGACATTTTTTTGTTAGGTTAATATAGCGGAATTCACGGAAACATCACTTTTTTAGAATCCAGATTGCAGTTACGCCCCCTAGCGGCCATTTCAGAAACTAAAAAGATTTTCCAGTTTTTTCTCGTGGCCGTTTTAGTAATAGAATTTTTTTTCCGCAAGCCTCTACGATGGATAGGTTCTCAGATACAGTACCTCGCATTCTTAGTTGGCCACCCTGTACAATGGCAACCGGTCGCTAAACCACCCAAAAGATCCTGTCCAGCTATCTCAATTTAGTTCAGAGATACTAACAAAACCTTTAAAAAAGTCCACCAAATTAATTTTTTAATTAACACCTGATATAATTATGGGTACAAAATAGAATGAAATTAACATAAAAACGGATCGTAATTTGGGCTCGATTAAACGTAAAGCTAACCATTTACAGATGAAACAAAGTCGATTCAACATCGATCAATCAAATAAGCTGATAGGCACTCAGGGCCAGATAACATACCGCGCAACAAGCGATTGATTAAACAAATTTAATTTAAAGAAAGTTCTAATTACTTACGTGAAATAATCCTTATCATCCCGTCGTAATAGTTTTTCAACAAACAGGCGGACTAACACATAAAACAAACACCAAGCTCAATGACGCTTCGGAACTGACTCTTTTCAAATACCCTGAAATACGGCATAGGTACACAAAAAAAATCGCTACGTCTCAACGTCGACCACCAAAAAAGCTTGAATAACGTCCTCCTTTCCTAAATTAACTTCCGCATATTATTTTTTATTTGGCGCCCAACGTGGGGCGTCAGGAAAACGGAAAATTAGATCAAAAAGGTAAAAAAATTTCTTTTGGTACTCAGACATTTATACAGGAAAAGGAAATTTGTACTGTTGTGAAGGGTTAATAGAAAATTATCTCAATAAAGAAGAACGTTTAAAAAAAGATGTCTACAATGGGGATGAACACCGAAGACGAATATGTCACTGAAATCGGATGTGAAGGCGGATTTGAATTAACAGTTGGAAGTTCACCAACAGAACCAAGTCAAAGGAATTCAAGACCAGAAACTGCAAGAAGAAGTTGTAGTGAAGTCCAAGATTAAGGGAAGAAGAGGTTCATCAGGTGTTGGCGCATTTAATGGCAACTCGCTTTGCGAATAACAGGATCTATCATTGGAGTTTGATTTTGCAAGAGTATTCATTTGAAATCAAGTACATAAAGGCACAGATATACACAAACAGATTACTAACTTTATGCATTTAATGGAATTTAGGTATACAGTGACAGTGTAATCATACAGTGGTGATATTTTCTTTTGGTAATTGGGAGATCCTGTATATTTTGGGCGAATACATCAGATTAATAGAAATTCCCCTGGAAACCAAAGTGATGAATTTATCTTGCTGGACACAATTGTGGTAACATTATTGTAACCATACCAGAATCTACTAATTTGGTTAAACCAATCAGCTCAATCATAAATTGGAAAAAACGTGGCCGACATGACGCATTATGGCCACGCTGTCTTTAAACAGTCACTGTATACCTAAATACAGTGACTTTGGCGACAATAGAGTGTCTAGTTTTTGATTGGTTGTTGAGATCGGCGGCCATGTTGCAATGAAATATATATGTATAATATTGTATTATAGTGCACGCAAATGTATTGCCTAGTTCTAATTTGAATTTTTGATGCAACATGACGGTTGGGCTCCTATAGTCATCACTGTCTGTTTATAAAGTCACTGTATTTCCGTATATAGTGATCAGAAGGAGATCAGAGGTGCTTTCTTTCGGTGATCCAAATGCGTTTGGATTGTCAAATCACGTTCTTTCGAAGTGTGATCTTATGATCATGATTGCTAAAATCGTGAACAAACTGAACATAAAAGTTTTATGACACTAATTCCTAACCTATAAATGTATGGATATTTTTGCTCAAATGTTAGATTAGTCAATATTTGTAACTGAAGAGAAGCATAATCGTGCAAGTACTTCCACTTCTATTTAAATTATTTTCATTATCCAAACAAAAAGTACGTAATTCAAATGTAAATGTGCACTACGTAAACTTAACCATACTTTGATTTAAATTCGCGCGTTCTTTCGTAAAACGTGATCCTACGAATCACGATCTCGAAATCTTGATTTCGAAGTAGCCGAAAGAAAGCGCCTCAGATCTATTAGGACCAATGAGCCATTACCAATAGATTATTTGACCAACCTACCTAAAAGTGAAAAAAAAAAGTAACTGAGAAACCATGGTGAACTTGGGTAAAGTTAGGGGAGAGAGGGGCAGCAATGGAAAAAGGTTAAGTTTCATGTTAATTAAATTAAATTCAAGAAACATCCATAATTCCAATGGTTTTGTTTAGTTTTCAAGGGGGTTTCTATGTACTTCTCGATTTTCTGAATCAATTTAAGGGCAAAATTTGAATTTCGTATCAAGGGACTAGATTGATTCAGTTAGTTTGATCAAAAGGCCTTCCTCTCTCTTGTTTAAAAAATTTCCCTTTCTTCTGTTCCTCTGTCCTTAACAAAATATTGCGCCTTCACAAGAATTAACATCTACTAACTTCGGCGATAACACGTACTTATCTTGAAACTAATTAGCTTATGTACTGAAGAAAAGTTCTTTGCTACGACCGGAGAAAAACAAATATTACGCAAATAATTCCTAATTGAATAAATCTAGCCCCTTAACACATAATTTAAATTTATAATTACCAAAATAATCTACGCTTTAGAAATAATTGAAATTATACAGCGTGGCCCAACAATGTTACAAAAATACCCACATCTAATAAATGAAATCTTTTCATTGCAGATTGCTACGCGAGGTGCGAACTAGTGAACTCCGAACGATGTGCTTACAAGTACTAATAGCTGCTTTATACTACAACCCTCAACTGTTATTCTCCGTACTAGACAAATTGCCAGATTTCACAGCACACTTTGTTAAGCAATGGTTACACGACGCAGACTGTTTCCTTGGCATTCACGATCGTAAGATGTGCGTCTTGGGACTGTGCACGTTAATTAGCATGCCCGGCAGACCTAGCACGTTATTAGAATTGGCACCGCAAGTCGTTCCGGCGATTGTCCTACTGTTCGATGGACTCAAGAGAGCTTATGCCGCTAAAGCGCAAGAGGCCGCGGAGGAGGAGGAGGAGAGCGATTGTGATGATGACGACGTCGAAGAAGTCTTAAGTTCGGACGAAGACGATATCGACGAGCAGGGACAAGTAAGTGGCATTTGATGCGACTCACGTTTAGAGGTGGGAGATTTTCACTTTTAAATTTGAGTGAGATGTTCTTCCAGTGTGTGTAACATTAGAACTAAAAATTCCCCAGTTAGTAAAAAGATTATTAACGTTACACGTACTGGTGGAAAAGAAAATCGATTTTAAGCCAAGCACTTACTTGTTAGGAATACTTGGAAAGTTTGTCGAGAAAGGCTGTGAACGCGGGCGCAGCGGCGGGTATGCAAATCACAGCGAATATCACAGACGACGATGAGGAAGATAGTGATTCCGACTCAGATTATGAACCCAATGAGGAAACCGCATTGGAAACTTATACCACTCCTCTCGACGAAGATAATTGCGAAATTGATGAATATTTTGTGTTTAAAGAAGTCATGCAAAGTGAGTATTTGCGTTTGTATTCTGAGCTTTCATGTTAATTGTTTCAGGACTACAAAGTACAGAACCAGAATGGTATCAAGCTTTAACCAATAACCTTACGGAACAACAGAGTAAGGCTCTTATGGAAATTAGTTTATTAGCTGATCAACGAAAGGCGGCACGCGAAAGTAAAAAGATTGAACAACAAGGAGGTTTGTACTTTCGTTATATTCCGAGGCTATTCCCTAATCTAATGCACCTGTATTGTAATTACCGGTGTGTCTTGATAATTAGGGACAGATTACATTTACCACAGTACGGCTTAATGGTGAAAATACCATTAAGATATGTCGTTTGGTAGTACAACTTTTGTTTAGGGCTATTTATACAGTGTCTGAAAAGTATGGAATATATTATATATATTTTTGTAAATGACAAGATATGTCTTTGCCAACTTATTTGGTAATGTTTCAAAAATGTAAAGTACTAAAGTACAAATGCCACCAGGGGCGCTTTTGAAGTTCATTTTGTTCGCGTTCTACAAGCAAGTGTGCATTAGGGTACCCTGGTGTTTTCAAAAAAACATTTTTAAACTCGGAGTAAAAGCACAAAGACACAACTTGGCTATTTTAAATGGAACGCTACCTAAATTGTATTACAATAATGGATATTACTCTATGTTTTTGTTGGTAGCCATGTCTAGGGATATTATCTGATATTTTAGGTGCGTTCGATTATCCGTTTCAGGAGTGAGCAGAACATACAGTGCAAAAGGTCATGTGATCACTGGGGCAAATTTAATAACTGTACAATAAACAAACGGTATGTAGCGGATGGCATAACCTATAAATTTTGTACAATTTGGCTGGTCAAGTACTAAACCATGGGAATGTGTGGTAATATTCATTACAGACGCAAATGATGTCCAAATTATCTTTATGAAATAAATCGCAAACAAAAACAATCAAACAGAGGTTAATTTTTAGGTTAAAATAAACATGACCATGTGATCGCGTCTATTGCTCTCTGTCTGCACTCTCTCACGAGATGGAATGTTTGGAGTTAACTCCTTTCACTCTGTTTTGTAATAAAAAACGATACGGAGTTAACACTTTTTCTGGTGCACCAATAAACGAACGCACCTAATATAAACACAGATCTTGAAATTCACGACTTCCTAAAAAATATATCCAAAAGTGGTTTGTGATCCTCTTATTCTCGCCATATTTGTAAATGCTATCCCGCATATTACTTTTTATTGTGAAAAATTCGTATTAATCACCTTCTTTTTAGGTTACGTGTTCACGCAGCAAACTGTGCCAACTACATTCAATTTTGGTGGAAGTGGATCAATCGGCGGTTCATGAGACCTATATAATTTTTATGGTGTCTAAGCAACGGCAATTTTTTATTTATTGACTGAAACGTGATTAGTTGTACAGCTGGTTTATTAACAAAAAAAGTTTTACTTCTTATTCTTGATTGTTTTCTCTTTTTTTTGTAATTAGTACTGATTATGTATTAAGTGCCTTTTTATTATTCTGTGTATTTAAACCTCTAAATTAGACACAATGAGTAAATAAAAAATAGCTTTTTATTCCTTCAGCGTTGCATATTATTTTAACATAAGTATTAACCCTCTTCATTTCATTGATAATAAATTTCTCTTATTACCCGATGAAACGAGACTTCATGGCGGCAGAGTTATACACTGTGATCAGACAGTAATACGAAACTTAGTTCGGCAATCATCTAAACACAAATTAAGTGTAAACTTATCAATACTGCAGACAGCTTATTATACATTAGAAACCATCCGCGATTTACATCGTGAAGTAAAACCTTTGAAACTTATCTGTTAAAGTCAATTTTGGAACCCGATTTAAATTAATAACAAAACGACACATTTTGACAAAGTTACGAAATCACTTCAGGCAACGATCAAAGTAAGTACCGCCAACATAACCTCCTCGCATAGCCTTCTGGACATTCTGTTCGAATAAACGGCGATTGCTCGTTAACACTTCCGCAGCCTCCTTATTTAAGGGGTCTTCCGGATTTGGCTCCAAAAATAAATATTGTAGACCGTAGACGATACTATTTATAGTTAGAACAGGCTTCCAATCCTCTCGTAGTATATTGAGACAGACGTTACCCTGTTGGTCTATGTTCGGATGATAAACTTGAGTTTCACACTTCACCTTTGGAGGTTCGTGTGGATAATTAGGGCCCACTTTGAAACTAAAAACAAATCGACCAGTTCGATAGAATCCTTCATCCGGACATATGATCAATTTGAAAGACAGCAAATCGTCGGCATCGGGAAACTCTGTGTTGCAGGTCTTTGGTAGATTCAATTCGTTTATATCTGTAAAAATAAGCGACTAGTGATCGTGTTTGTTGGAAGAAAACTTACCCTTTGTAATTCTAAGCTGAGCTGCAGTGGCCTTCTTTTGATTATTACTCCTTGGAGATGACTCTCCATCCTTCTTCTGTTGCTTTAGTGAAAACAATTTTATCATATTTAGAGAATGTGTTTGAATTGTATTATAGTTATACGTATCCAATTGGAAATTCAGTATTATTTCCTTACTATTAACAATTTACATATGCATAATTATTTGTGAACTGTCAAGATTGGAAACAAAAAAACTCGCAATGAACTTGGAATATTTATCCACCAATCACAATTAGGAACACAACAAAGGCTACGTTCAACTATTTAACCAAATTTTTCATATGTAACTATGTTCATTCTAATCCTAAAAATGTTCATTAGGCCGGATTGGAAGGGCTGATGCCATTGAATGAGTAGTTAATTACTTATTCAATGCTGCTTATTTTCAAAACTAGGTTGTTATTAAATTAGGGCTTTAAAAGGTTTATACAGGGTGTACCATTATTTCCAAATAAATTAATTGTTCAAAATGCTTCGTACCTATACAAGCCGAGGGCCACCACGGGGATCTCGGAAACTGTAAAGGCGGGTTTAGGCTCGTACGCAGAACGGCGCTGCTGCAGAAAGTCGCAGCCGCAGGTAGTTCGAGACCATGTTGATATACGGCCTTGTTTATGCTTGAACGCACAAATACAAAACGTAGGTTGCCGCAAATATGCTTGTCTGTAGGAGACGCAGAAGTTCGCAGAATTTAAACTTTGTACGCAGTTGTTTGTAGTCGGGCGTACAGCTCTTCTTGATCCTTTGTCACCATACTTGAAAAACATTTAGAAACCTTCCAAATTTTCTCCTATATTTGTTAACAGGTCTTACTGCCCACCGTCGTACCCTCCTTTGAGTATGCAAGAGCCCCAACTCATTACTTAACGCCGTTAGTAACAGTATTTTCTTTAATTTAATTCTCTTCTTGTCTGCCATTGCAGAAATAAATCAAAAATCTGTTTTTTCTATTCACTTAACCAACCACGTTATTTAACGACCAAAAGAGGTTAGGTTTTAAATGTCAATTTCGACACTTGAACACTGAGAACAACTGCGTACCAACATAAACAGATAGATCACTAGTACACACGGGGGCGTACTTCTGCAGCTGAAATTTCCACTCACTTCTGCAACGTGTGCATTCTGCGTACGAGCCTAAACCCGCCTTAAGAGATAGGTAGTTTCAATTTGGCGTATTATGATGCTTACCAGCTTAACAAAATGCTGTATGACGACTGGTTCTTTATTCGGTGTCGCTACTCGCGCCTCTACCACAATTACATTGCTGTTGTATATAAATTTATTTATTTGTGCTTTGTAAAGTAGGTAGTTTTTATTGAGTTAACGTCACGTTTATGTTTTTGTCATCACCGATTTGTACGGACAATTCGTTGTCAATCAAAATTTTGCTTTTGCTAGTATAAAGTCGTTTGAATTATTGATTTTTATTTACTATCAATTACTTAGGGTTTTAGTATACGATTTAGTGTCAGGCGTTAGACATTGCTACCGCAATATTATTGTGCCGTGCTATTCACGATCCCACTTATTTGTTTGTGTTATTCACTGTTACAGATAAGGCAGAAAAACGCACTTGTGAGCTCAAAAGGTCATCACATCCAGAGTTTACATGTATTTTTTTTATGTTCGATGACTCCTTGGTATAACGTTTGATTACCCTGGTTTTCTATACCATTCATTTGTAATTAATACATTCATTTGATAGTCATTTATGCGCGGAAGCCTGTTTATATATTGACCCTGACTACGAGATGATCCCCCTTTCTCCTAAATTTTGATTTAAATTTAAACATTGACATTTCTGATCTAGATATTATTACAATGTCCTATTTGTAATATTTTGAGATTATTTATTAACTTATTCAATGTGACATCAATTCTTGTTTATATTCTACTCTGTCCATTATTATGTTTATTTAGCTTATTAAGACCAGAACAAGGATCTTTTCGTCTGCTTTGTTCCCCCTTTCGGTAAGTATTATCTTTTCTCTTTTGGAATTTATGAAAGATTAGTGGCACCTATATCCGGTTTACTATTAGGTACTAGGTACATTTCCCTTTTGCTTGGTTTTTGCCAGTGTATAAAAACCCCGAATATTCACCCCGACCCACCTCTATTTTGCCTGAGCTTACCGTGTGCGTATTATCGCGTGGTAATTTTGTTGCATTTACTCAAACATAACACTCTAATAAATATTTTCTTATTAAAGTTGAGATGTCTGCTTTCAAATTTCAAACAAGAAGTTCCGTTACCGTATATTGAGACACCGTTTAAGCTACCGTTGCCAGATACCGAGCCACAATTCAATAGCGTTCCCATGAAAAAACAATAGGTTTATTATTCAACAATGTATTCAGTCTTCAATGTCAGCAATTATAACAATGTTAGTCTGTATAGGGAGGAAATGGTGGATAGATTTAGTTTTGCCGAGTTAGCTTTTCGAGTTCCCACAGGTTCATTTTTTTTCTTTGAGTTCACTTTGCTTTGGGTAGTCAGTTAGTGTGGTGTTCATTGTAACCGAAAGGTAATGTACTTAGTTGTAATTGATTTATATTGTAGATTATGTTGCCTTCAGCTAGTTGTAATGCAGGGTAAAGTGATTCTTGAATTTGGTGTAATTTGCTTTCATGTAAAAGTGGTTCTTGTTTGATTTGTTGAAGATTGGCCAGTTATCAATTTTCTTGTGTTTGTTTTGAACCCATTTAGATTGATTAGCGACTTCAATTCTTTGTGTATGAATTAGCCTTTTTTGAGTGTAATTAACCGTTTCGCCCTTGCAGAGGTACATGCCGGAGTGATAAAGATACTTAGCGGCATGTATTTCGAACGACAACTTTAGTCTAAGGTTACCGTATCCAGGATCTTAGATACCTGCTAGATTGGAGGAGGTCTGGCTAATTAATGATGTTTATTTTATGCACTTTATGTAAAGAGACTTCGGAATGTATCTTTCACACATGAGAAAGGATTGAAGGTGCTTTTTAAATCTATTTGTGATGGCCATCCTTTAACTTATCAAGTTTGTATTGCACTAACGTCAGATTTCAAGCTGTACCATTCAAGAATTACTTACTCGGATTATTATTCTTTGTATAACTATTGTAGCTGTGTTGTAAAATGTGTTTAGCGTTATCCAATGTTACCTCTCATTCTCCAGATTTTCCCTCTAGATTTCACCTCTGTGAACAGTGAGTCGGAATTTTCTTTAGCACGGTTCTTTTGTCCGATGAGTTCTAGGGGAACCTGGCACTTTTTGGCTTTAAATGTATTCTGTCTAAATTTGTAGGATGTCTTTCGGCCTTTTGATTCATTTTTTACACTTTTGATCGGTTCTTTAATAAACTTTATTTGTGTTTCAAATTCAATTAAGCGTATTATTTGCGTTCCGCCTTTCCAATAATTAGCATGGGTACGAGTGAGTGCAACCTGGCTTTCCACAACGTAGGGGTTCCGGCCATTGTCGAGTGCGAGGTTTGTGTTACTACGCAGGTGTTCCGAGTTCGTGTTTTTCCCGCTTTCGTTAGCGCGGGAGCTGTCGACTTGGGTACATCACAGATTTTTGGTGCCGTGACCAGGATAACCTTGTCCCATTGCTATGTGAAAGGAGGAATCTTGTGTGTTTTGATTTTGTTTACTAATTTGTGTTTTGTTTTGTCAGACCTACTGCCGTGTCTGTGTTTTTAGGTTCCCAACGTTGGAAATGGATGTGCCCATGCCTTTTGTTGATACGCCACCAGCGGACACCGAAGTTGAGGTTGTTACGGAGCCTATGACCGATTTGGATTGTTTGAAGATGATGGTGCAGAGGCAAGCTACTACGTTAGAGGAGTTTGTACGGGATCAGAGGAAGGTCAACCAAGAATTTCTCAACTCGTTGGTGCAATTGACGCGATCCAATGCCACCGCCAGTCCCAGCGCTGTTCCCGCAGAAGCCACCGTGATAGCTCCATCATTGTGCGAACCACCAACAGGTCAGTGTATTGTTAACCCCCTTGCTTCTTCTACTCCACAACCTATTGCTGCTGCATCTAGGGTGATTGATAGAGTGAATGTTTCCGAGTGGAAGGAGGTCGCTATGTCCTTGGCTAAACGATCTTTGGTTGGTCCTTTGGTTGAGAAGCCACTGTTTAATCCAGTTCGTTTTCACCCAGTAATCTTTTTGGAACGTTTTGATAGGTATTTTCGTTTAGCACGTTTCGATGAAGTGGAGAAGTTAGAGGTTGTTCGGGGTTGCTTAATAGGAACCGCTTTGGATTGGATGAGTGTCCGTGGGAAGAGTTGGCGAGATTTTGAACATTTCAAGGGTGATTTCCTAGCATATTTTTGGTCAATAGATCAACAACACGCTGAGAGAACTCGATTGACCAGCAAACGGTTCATTGCAGAGGGAGGGTTGTCAATGCCGCAGTATTTTTTAAAGCAGGTTTCCCTGTTCCGAGCCTTCCAACCACCTATTCCGGAGGAAATGATTGTAGCCGATATTATGCGTCAGTATCCGCAAAGTATTAGGGCATTGTGGGCCGTTTGTCCAGTTCGGGATGTTGATGGTGCTCTCAAGTTTTTAGAACGTCAGGATGTGGCGGGAGATAAGAGGCCAAGAACCTTCTCGGAACCTGTTTCCGCTGTGGTTGCTCAGAGACCTCGTTTAGATGAAGACTCCGATGACCAAGAGGTTGTTCGCAATTTAGTCTACCCTTTTCCACCACCTAGTGTCAGCGTTGTGCGGGGTTCTAGCGGCATGGGATCGGGAAATGCCAACAGGAAGGGATAAGAAGGTGTCTGCTTCCGTCAAAGATCAATTTCTTCATTACTTCTTTTATTAATCTATCTTGTAGGATGGTCTTCGATTCAAATAATTCAACTACATATTTTCAACGTCTTTTCTCATCTTCTACTAACATTGCTAACTTCACTCTGTTTAAAAAAAAAAAAAAAAACCCCGTGTCTAAACTACCCACATTTCGATGGTGCATAATTTGAATTTAACTATTACAATCTAGAGCGCCAGGGGCGTGGATGTGTAAGTATCGAGGTGTGTTTTGACTGTAGGGGCGGAGATTAGAAGGATTTCAACTTAGAGTTGCTTTTATTTTAGGATGTTTCTCTTTATAGGATGATAATCTGATTTTTCAACTTAGAGTCGTTTTTATTTTAGTGTTGTAATCTTTATAGGATAATCTGATTTTTGTTTTTTTGTTGTATTTCTTTTGTTTTTTTTTTCAGTTTAACCATAGGAACAATATTAATACATTATTTTTTTGTTACATGTACGAGTTCGATAAAAAAAACCTTTGGATGTTGGAAAACCCCTGTCTGATGTGCACCATTCAGCGATTTCCCAAAGGGGCGATCTGAGATGTCTGCTTTCAAATTTCAAACAAGAAGTTCCGTTACCGTATATTGAGACACCGTTTAAGCTACCGTTGCCAGATACCGAGCCACAATTCAATAGCGTTCCCATGAAAAAACAATAGGTTTATTATTCAACAATGTATTCAGTCTTCAATGTCAGCAATTATAACAATAGTAGTCTGTATAGGGAGGAAATGGTGGATAGATTTAGTTTTTGCCGAGTTAGCTTTTCGAGTTCCCACAGGTTCATTTTTGTTCTTTGAGTTCACTTTGCTTTGGGTAGTCAGTTAGTGTGGTGTTCATTGTAACAGAAAGGTAATGTACTTAGTTGTAATTGATTTATATTGTAGATTATGTTGCCTTCAGCTAGTTGTAATGCAGGGTAAAGTGATTCTTGAATTTGGTGTAATTTGCTTTCATGTAAAAGTGGTTCTTGTTTGATTTGTTGAAGATTGGCCAGTTATCAATTTTCATGTGTTTGTTTTGAACCCATTTAGATTGATTAGCGACTTCAATTCTTTGTGTATGAATCAGCCTTTTTTGAGTGTAATTAACCGTTTCGCCCTTGCAGAGGTACATGCCGGAGTGATAAAGATACTTAGCGGCATGTATTTCGAACGACAACTTTAGTCTAAGGTTACCGTATCCAGGATCTTAGATACCTGCTAGATTGGAGGAGGTCTGGCTAATTAATGATGTTTATTTTATGCACTTTATGTAAGAGACTTCGGAATGTATCTTTCACACATGAGAAAGGATTGAAGGTGCTTTTTAAATCTACTTGTGATGGCCATCCTTTAACTTATCAAGTTTGTATTGCATTAACGTCAGATTTCAATCTGTACAATTCAAGAGTTACTTACTCGGATTATTATTCTTTGTATAACTATTGTAGCTGTGTTGTAAAATGTGTTTAGCGTTATCCAATGTTACCTCTCATTCTCCAGATTTTCCCTCTAGATTTCACCTCTGTGAACAGTGAGTCGGAATTTTCTTTAGCACGGTTCTTTTGTCCGATGAGTTCTAGGGGAACCTGGCACTTTTTGGCTTTAAATGTATTCTGTCTAAATTTGTAGGATGTCTTTCGGCCTTTTGATTCATTTTTTACACTTTTGATCAGTTCTTTAATAAACTTTATTTGTGTTTCAATTTCAATTAAGCGTATTATTTGCGTTCCGCCTTTCCGATAATTAGCATGGGTACGAGTGAGTGCAACCTGGCCTTCCACAACGTAGGTGTTCCGGACATTGTCGAGTGCGAGGTTTGTGTTACTACGCAGGTGTTCCGAGTTCGTGTTTTTCCCGCTTTCGTTAGCGCGGGAGCTGTCGACTTGGGTACATCACAGATTTTTGGTGCCGTGACCAGGATAACCTTGTCCCATTGCTATGTGAAAGGAGGAATCTTGTGTGTTTTGATTTTGTTTACTAATTTGTGTTTTGTTTTGTCAGACCTACTGCCGTGTCTGTGTTTTTAGGTTCCCAACGTTGGAAATGGATGTGCCCATGCCTTTTGTTGATACGCCACCAGCGGACACCGAAGTTGAGGTTGTTACGGAGCCTATGACCGATTTGGATTGTTTGAAGATGATGGTGCAGAGGCAAGCTACTACGTTAGAGGAGTTTGTACGGGATCAGAGGAAGGTCAACCAAGAATTTCTCAACTCGTTGGTGCAATTGACGCGATCCAATGCCACCGCCAGTCCCAGCGCTGTTCCCGCAGAAGCCACCGTGATAGCTCCATCATTGTGCGAACCACCAACAGGTCAGTGTATTGTTAACCCCCTTGCTTCTTCTACTCCACAACCTATTGCTGCTGCATCTAGGGTGATTGATAGAGTGAATGTTTCCGAGTGGAAGGAGGTCGCTATGTCCTTGGCTAAACGATCTTTGGTTGGTCCTTTGGTTGAGAAGCCACTGTTTAATCCAGTTCGTTTTCACCCAGTAATCTTTTTGGAACGTTTTGATAGGTATTTTCGTTTAGCACGTTTCGATGAAGTGGAGAAGTTAGAGGTTGTTCGGGGTTGCTTAATAGGAACCGCTTTGGATTGGATGAGTGTCCGTGGGAAGAGTTGGCGAGATTTTGAACATTTCAAGGGTGATTTCCTAGCATATTTTTGGTCAATAGATCAACAACACGCTGAGAGAACTCGATTGACCAGCAAACGGTTCATTGCAGAGGGAGGGTTGTCAATGCCGCAGTATTTTTTAAAGCAGGTTTCCCTGTTCCGAGCCTTCCAACCACCTATTCCGGAGGAAATGATTGTAGCCGATATTATGCGTCAGTATCCGCAAAGTATTAGGGCATTGTGGGCCGTTTGTCCAGTTCGGGATGTTGATGGTGCTCTCAAGTTTTTAGAACGTCAGGATGTGGCGGGAGATAAGAGGCCAAGAACCTTCTCGGAACCTGTTTCCGCTGTGGTTGCTCAGAGACCTCGTTTAGATGAAGACTCCGATGACCAAGAGGTTGTTCGCAATTTAGTCTACCCTTTTCCACCACCTAGTGTCAGCGTTGTGCGGGGTTCTAGCGGCATGGGATCGGGAAATGCCAACAGGAAGGGATAAGAAGGTGTCTGCTTCCGTCAAAGATCAATTTCTTCATTACTTCTTTTATTAATCTATCTTGTAGGATGGTCTTCGATTCAAATAATTCAACTACATATTTTCAACGTCTTTTCTCATCTTCTACTAACATTGCTAACTTCACTCTGTTTAAAAAAAAAAAAAAAAACCCCGTGTCTAAACTACCCACATTTCGATGGTGCATAATTTGAATTTAACTATTACAATCTAGAGCGCCAGGGGCGTGGATGTGTAAGTATCGAGGTGTGTTTTGACTGTAGGGGCGGAGATTAGAAGGATTTCAACTTAGAGTTGCTTTTATTTTAGGATGTTTCTCTTTATAGGATGATAATCTGATTTTTCAACTTAGAGTCGTTTTTATTTTAGTGTTGTAATCTTTATAGGATAATCTGATTTTTGTTTTTTTGTTGTATTTCTTTTGTTTTTTTTTTCAGTTTAACCATAGGAACAATATTAATACATTATTTTTTTTGTTACATGTACGAGTTCGATAAAAAAACCTTTGGATGTTGGAAAACCCCTGTCTGATGTGCACCATTCAGCGATTTCCCAAAGGGGCGATCTGAGATGTCTGCTTTCAAATTTCAAACAAGAAGTTCCGTTACCGTATATTGAG